ATGACACAAACTCTACTTAACAGTGTGATGTAAAGTCCAGGAGGTACAAGGTGACTCTCCAGTCAGTCAAAATGATGTTATCAGAGCCTGCTTCACAAGGTGGTGAAATGTCTGTGCAACGTGATGGATTGCATTTTATGGCCTTTCTAGCCATGGTCTTGTAACTCTCACCAAGAGACTCGGTGGGACTATGTACACAAGGTCCTTGTGGTCCACCAAGCGGATTGGACAGCTTGCTAATAATACAAATAAGGTGTGTAGCACCGTTGTGAGGGTGGGACCACACAAATAAGGTAAATGGAACTCTAATGAGGGGATTGGTTAGTTTTGCCATCCTGCTAGGCTTAAAAGAGAGCACATCCCAGAACACAGAGGGGACCACCACTATGACAAAGATTCAGAAGCAGAGCACATACTTTGGATCCGGGGTCCCCACTCTGAGAACTTCCTAGATGCAGGAGGCAGAGAGCTGTAACACCGGAGATGGCCAGAGACTGTGAGAAGCAGTGGCAGAGACAGAGCCGCAGTGGAAGCAGGAAACGGGCTCGAGACTGCACAGTGGGCTTCCTGGCCCATAGCTCATGGAGTGAGACAGCTGAGCACCTTGGGGCGGGAGGCTTGCTGGCAGAGTAGGGTATTTCTGGGCACTCATCGGTGGAGCTAAAGAGCTTTGTAACATTTGCCTGAGCAGGTCAGGAGCCAAGCCATCCCAAGAGGCCTAAAGGGCCAGGGGTCCAAGGAGCTGAAGGCCAGAGAGAAGCCTGCCTGTAGACATGGCTGAGAAGAGGCGTCATGACTAAAGAACTCTATCCTGAGTGTTTCTTGATCCTAAATTGTGACCTGTTACTTCCCTAATAAACCCCATAGTTATGAGTATGGTCTGTGTGACCACTGCAATGAATTACCGAACCCAGTGGTGAAGTAGAGAGTGCTGTGGGACAGTTGGTGCTAGAACTGGTCAAAAGGTTGAGAGAAGAAACATGTCTGACCTCCGCCTCATAGGAATCAGCCTTGGGCTGATGCTGCTGGCGGTGATTTAGCCTCTTCAAGAAGCTAGGGGAGGTCAGATGAAGCTGCTGGCACACCATTTTTATAGTTCAGACAACGTTAAAGGTGAGACCCGAAAGTAGTAATCCACACATGGATGGATTTTTAAAAAGATCTGAGGGAGGGTCTCCCAAAAAGGCTAATAACACTTATCCTTGGGTGTTGGAATTATGGATACCATTTTAGGATTGTTCTTGTATGTATCTCCTACAATGAGCATGGATGCTATATCTATAAACGCACCTGTAATCTTATATACTGGCATTTCCCATTGCCCACAGGGAGTTCTAGGTCAGATGAGGTGTGCACAGACGCCCAAAGCTTCCCACAGGAGCCCGCACATGGTGGGCTTCCACACCTCAGAAGGCCCAGTTTCTCCTCTTAGTTTTCTTGGATCTGCTTGGGATGGGATGGAAGAGGGGAGGAAGGGAACAGAAATTGAGTGCACCGCAGAAATGGAGGCTCGGAATGCCAGTTCTCCATCTCTTGCCCTAGCATTGTCCAAGACAGCTGATCCCCCTTTTTCTCCGTGCAGAGTTCACTCATTTCAAGCATTGCCAGTGGAAATCCCAGTGCCCTTGATAGCTCTAGTTTGTCACAGAGGTGACAAGCACAACATTAAAGGAGGCAGGATAGTGTAATGGTTAACTGCAAGATTTTAGACCCAAACTGGGTCAGTGGCTCACTGCACCTCTTATTACTATGTGGCATAGGGTTGTCTGCCCCTCCCTCTGTGGCCTCTTGGCCTCCTCCGTGAAATGGGATTCTGGCTTGTTATGTCTCTCTATAGACATGAAGCTCTGCAAAGGGACCTGGCTCGCAGGAAGGACTTGGTAAATGGTAGCTGTTGGTTATGGTTCAGGTATAATGTGCCTGGTTCAAGATTGACCCCATGACCTGCATTCACAACACTGTCCTTATCCCAGCACCGAGGAAATATCAGCTCAGACAGTTTCTCTTCCTAGTTACCGCGTCATCATTCATTCTGTAACCCAGACCATTAATATAACAAGGATTTTGTTCTTTCTGTGGCCACTACTGTTTTGTTTGTTATTCATGGACATGTTTTTATAGCCCTGTTTTACCTGCTTCACATTGTCTTCTCAGATTAAAATAATACCTTCAGTTAATAATACCTTGTGCTTGGGGAGTTGCTTTCATCCCAACAGCTCAGAGTCCTCTACAAACATGACCTCATTCATTCTCCTTGTGCTCCCAGGAGGGGGACACTCCTAAGTTTCCACTGCCTGCAAAGGGGAAACCCAACCCCAGTTATTGGTCTCCAATCAGATTCTCAGAAGCCAAAGTATTGATTAAGAGCTTTCACCTCTGTTGACCACAAATCACAGATGGCACTCCACTGCGCTCCCTCCTTCTCTCCCCAGTGACCTTATTATGCCCATAGAAGATAACCAATACCCAGAACCAAGTCCCTCTGGCTGTGGGTAGTGGGGGGAGATGCTTGGCCCCCATGTCTCTCTCAGGTGCCCTCACCTGTGTTCCGCAGTGGTCAACATTAATAGACCTTGGAGACGGACTGCCTTGACATCCAGGAAATAATAGATTTGGCAATTTGGGTGTTTCCAGGACCTTTGCGTCCCTCGAGGACTTCTTAATTAAGACCTAGGACTTTGTAGCGGGTCAAGGGCTTGTGAGGGACATTATCACAGGGCTCCACATATCTCAGCCCAGGGCAGTTCCTACTACTCATGGCTCTGGCACGCCTGACACCTGTGTGTACTTGTGAAAACCAGAGCCCCACAATGACAGTACTTCAGTACTTCCTTGTTCTAGGCCAGTTTGTGGCCTAAGCTCCTGGGCTGCTCACTTTTGTTTTCACCTCCCAATTACTGGAAGGAAGGGCTGCAGGCAGCACTTGACTCTCCAATCACGCTCTGGGTCTCAGCCTACCTAGGAGCGCTTTGGGGCGTCACCCAACAACAATAACAACAACAAGTGCAATTACAGCTACAGATACTTCTACCCTAAACAGGTCTCAGCAGGCAAAAAGCTGACTCTTACTCCTTCAAAACAAGCAAACAAACAAAAAGACTAACTAAACTGGCACCCACTCACTATAACGCCTGAGGCTGCTTTTCATCAGGACATGAACATTGTATGTAAGCTTTTCCTTATCTATGTACTACTTCTTTTATAAGGTCAAGTATTCTCAGTTGCCATGGAATCGATTCCAGCTCATGGCGACCCCAACGGCTGACTTTTAACCAGTAGCTCATCAGACTTTTCTTCTCAAAGAGCCTCTGAGTGGATTCAAACCTTTAACCTCTCAGTTAGCAGCCTATCTATTTGTACCACCCAGTACTCCAAATCCACTTTCTAAAAAACCAAACCAAACTCACTGCTGTCAAGTCGGGTCCAACTCATAGCGACCCCTCCTTGGTTTTCCGGGATGGTATCACTACAGAAGTAGATTGTCAAAGCTGCTTTCTGAGGAGTGGCTGGTGGATTTGAACGCCAGCCTTCTGGTTAGCAGTCAAGTACCTCAGGCACTATGCCACCAGTCAAAATAGAATTTTGGCTTGCTCATTATTCTCCACTTTCTGTCCTCAGACCCTTAATTAGTTAAAAATATTCTGTAATCAGCAGTTCCAAGAGAAAGCTTACTAAATTTTTCTGAAACAAAAACTCTTAATAGTGGCTCCCTGGCAATATTTACCTCCCTAGTCTCTCCCCCAACCTGCTTAAAATCCTGGTCCTCCCCCTACCTCCACAATACCCAAAGGCAAACCCTCAAGTTCAAATCCTAACCCAGAGCTGGAAACTCAGTGTATATAAACAAACTTCCTGTTTAAATGGATACTGTGTAAAAACACTCATTATTTTTAAAGGATAGTAGAAATTAAAGCTTCAATTAATCAGTCTAAAAAAATTTCTTGGCTTGAGATATTAGTCACTGAGACAGTCTCACTTTTGCCTCTTGTAAGTACATTTACTGTACAGTAACATTGGTTTACGTCTTTAGAGCGCAAAGTTTCTGGTCTAAAAAACACAGGAAAAGGCTGCTTGACCCTTAGGGTGGGTGGATGGGTGATTGGGAGGGGGCAGGAAGGGTGTTTCTGGAATGTTCTGTTTATTGATCCGGGTGCTGGTTACACGGGAGTGTTGACTTTGTGAGGTCTGAGAGCCGCATCTCTGATATATGCACTTTCCTGTACGGATGTTATGTTTCACTAAAATGTTAAAGAAACAGTAGGGCCGCTTGAAAGTTCTCCAAAAATTAAATAATTTTGAGACTGGTGCAGCTGCACAGCCTATGCCTGTTTTCTATTTTGATCACTCTGCTTCTCGAGATGACCACATCTTTCAGAGGAAATGAGTCAAAGCCACTCAGTCTTGCTTTTCCAGCTGAGCATGTTCAGTTTCAATGAAGTGATGAATGAACTTGGCCGCACCACCCCCAAGCCTACAACAGCAAACACAGGGGCCCTGGCCAATCAGCGGGCACTCAAGGTTTTCAAGTTGGGTTCAAACAGGACCACGAAAGACCAATCAACGCGGGATGCCCCGCCCCCAGCACCCGGCTCCTGCCAACCACAAGCCCGGAAAAGCCAAAACACGGCGGCCGGCCAATACCGGGCAGCCGCACGGCGCAGCCCTCCTCCAATGGGCTCGGCCCAGGGAAAAGAGAAACATAGCCGGCCCCGCAGGCCGCAAGATTCGAATCGAACGACCCCAACAGCGGCGGAGGCGGGGCCAGGCGGCACGCCGGCCAATCGGCGGCGGCGGCTCCGGCTCCCGAACGTTGGGACAGCCCGGCCCCGCCCCGTGCTGTTGTTTGTGGTGTCCGCGGGGGAGGCGGCGGAACCACAACATTCGCCGGGCGGCGCGGCTGAGCGGCTGGGCGGCGGCGGAGGGCAGGCAGCGAGGGCAAGCGCAAGGCAGCCGCGAGCCCCGATCGGTGCCCGGCTGAGCACCGGGCCTCGCGTCTCGCCATGTCGGTGAACATGGAGGAGCTGCGGCACCAAGTCATGATCAACCAGTTCGTGCTGGCCGCGGGCTGCGCGGCGGACCAGGCGAAGCAGCTGCTGCAGGCGGCCCACTGGCAGTTCGAGGTGCGTGCGGCCGCGCCCTCCAGGCCCCTCTGGGCGCAGCCCCTCCCCCACGGCCGGTCCGGGCGAGGTCGGTGTGTCAGGGGTCGAGATCGCTGGTGGCCGGCCCCTGGTGGCGCCTCCGGGCCGGGGTCGCAGGAGGCCCCCGGGAGCCGCAGAGCCGCGCGCTGGGCGGGCGGGGGGGTGGGGGGGGACTCTATTTATATCGGCCCCGTAAGACGATCCGCAGCCTCCAGGGCTCTCGTGGGGCGCAGAGAAGGGGCCTGAGGGAGCGCTGGGCGCGGGGGGGGGGGTTCTCGCACGTGGGGCCACCCTGAGTGTCGCCGGCCCGGGCGAGGCCCGTCTGTCCCGTCGATCGGGAGTGGGGCGCCAGGCCAAAAGGCTGGACGCTCGCGGGGCTCCGATGTCGGGGTCCTGAGCCTGAGCGCCGAGACCGGCGAAGCCTGGCGGGGTCTGGTAGCCGGCGGGCCGGGCCCGTTAACCACCCCGCTGCGTGTGTGTGTCCGCAGACCGCCTTGAGCACGTTTTTCCAAGAAACCAACATTCCCAACAGTCACCACCACCACCAGATGGTAAGTGCCGTCGGGGAGGGGGCGGACGGGACCCCATACCCCTTTGCCCCGCTTGGCAGCCACGGGCGCTCAAGTGCGGGCGGGCGGGGAGGCGTCGGCCTGCCCCTTTCCGGCGGGTGGGTGTCCGACCCGCAGTCCGCTGAGGGGCGCAGGCAGGGCCGCTGTCAGCCGCCGGCAGTGACAGCCATGTTGCCGGGGAGCGCCGCGCCGCGAATGTAAACAAAGAGCCAAAATGTCTTCCAGGAAAGAGCGGCTCCCACAGCCGGCGCCTGCTCGCCCAACTTCGTGATCCGGCCTCCGGGCTCGCTGCTGCGTCCTAACCTAAGGCCTCGTGCCTGGCGCTTTGCTCGGGGGGGAAGGGGCGCCAGAGCTGGGGAGCAAGGGAGGGGAAGGTGGCCCCAGAAGGCAGGAGCTGGAAGCCAGGAGTAGCCTGGTGGTGGGCTCACCCTGTCTCCCCAGACCTCTGGGGAGCTCGGGAGTTCGGGTGAAAAGCCCGGGAGTTGGAGGTTTATGTTTATGGGGAGCCCCCCTCCCCACCTACACACACCCAGCTTTAAAAGGAACAGGAAAGGGATCATGGCCTTGGGCTCTGGGAGGTGGACTCTGCACCCAGAGTATGTTCACTGTGTAAAGACCTAGGGGCTGGAAAGGACGTACCCTAGGTGTGGAAGGCACAGACTTTTGCCCTAAGACAAAGCAAAATACTCCAAATGGGGCCTCCATTCTCCTACAGCCTGGCCCCTGGCCTGAGCCTTTGCCCTCCTGTTCCCCACACCCCCATCTTGCTTTCTGGTCTTTCACTTTAGAAGTTTGAGTATCTTCTTGCATGCACCCCCCCTCCAGTTACCCATTAGCCCTGGTGGAGGAGGCAGGCTGGGATTGATGATAGGGTTTTTAAAACATTACTCCCAAGGTGTCTGAGCATTTCTGGCATTTTAAAACCTTAGTGTCCTTGCCCACGGCTCCCTCCTCCAGCCTTGTCCAGGGGGCTACATGTCCTGCTGGGTCAGGACTCCCTGTCTGTGGCTAGTCCTAAAGCACAAGTTAGAAGGGTCCATCTTGACCCTTGATCCATCTTGACTGTAATGAATTATTCCCTTGGAATGCCTCCTGCTGTATCTAAAACAAAAACAAAACCACAGTTGGAGTGTACTGGGAGAAGTGTGCCAGTGGTGGCCACGGGGCAGAAGCCTGGCCCTTGGTAAACCCAAGGTGGGGTTTGCCTCCAGGAGACCATCCCCCACTTCTGAACAGGGGATGTCTCTGGTTCCCACCCTGTGCCTGAGCCTAGGAGCTCCCTGTTCCCTGCTGACTGGCTTCTCCTTCCTCAAAAGAGCTTCGAGGCTTGTTCCCGCCAGCCAAGGTCCCCAGCCTGGCTAGTCCTCGGGCCAGTAAACGGGAGCTCGTGTTTAGGCCCTGGAACCCTCTCTCTGCAGATCTGGTCCCTTTTTGAAGTGCCCCTCAAGGGAGGTCTAGGCCTTGTAACAGACATGATGAGGGGGTATCCATCAGTGCAAAAATACTGAGTACTTCATCCTCCCTTGAGCAGTTTGCAAGTTACTTGGTGAAATAAATGAAAAAGAGGAGTTAAATATAAACACTAGACACCAGTAGTGGGAAAACAGCAATACCAGAAGTGGCCTGAATCCTGAATCACTGGCAAATGAATGGCCCTTCACTTCCTGCAGCTCCAGGAAGAAATTCTCTGATGGTGAGGGGAGTTGCTGAGTTGGGTTTAGAAGGGCCCAGAAGGGGAGAAAGGAGCCTTGGTGGCAAGTGAAGTACTCAGCTGTGAACCAAGAGGTTGCAGTTCAAACCTACCCAGTGGCTCTGAGGAAGGAAGACCTGGGAATCTGCTCCCATAAAGATTACAGCCTAGAAAACCCTGTGGGGCAGTTCTGCTCTGTCTTAGGGGGTTGCTGTGAGTCTGAATCGACTCCATGAGGTGCGACAACGAAGGAGGAGAAAGACTCCAGTCTAGATGCACAACAAGCATCTGTCCAAACCTTTGATTTTTAAAGATCACACCAGAGAGGTTGAGTAACTTGCCCGAGGTCACACAGGCAGACAGGCAGGCAGGTACAGGCTTCACAGGGCCCCTGTTACTCATCTGAGCCAGTCTGCTGACAAGGTGGCCGTTTGGGGACAGGAGGCTGCCCTGGCTTGGGGAACTGGGGAAGTTGGTCACGATGCTGTGGTGTAACTGGCCTCTGTCCCTGCCCCCCATTCATGGCTTCCTGCTGCCGAGAAGTCGGGCCTGGGTGGGGGGGCTGTGGAGGGAGGAGGGAAGCGTTCTGGGTGGGGCCGGACCTCTGCACAGTGTCCTTCAGCTGGTCCTGAAGACCACAACGGTCCCCTGGGTGCTCTCTGGGTCCTTGGGTGCTGCTGGCCTCCATTAGCAGGGCGGGTGCTGCCTCCCCCCACACCCTTCCCTTCTCTGCTCTGTTTCTGGCCAGAGTTTAGCCCCAGAGCTGTGAAAGCTCCCCTCCTTGCAAGGTGAAGAGCCCTAGAATCTTGCTCCCTGCCACCCCCTGTGCCTGGGGGAGGGGCTGCTGTTGCTAAAATTAGGAGAAATTCAGAGAAGGACTCCCTTGGCTTCATGGGAAAGAGAGAAGTCACAACTAGGACAGAACCGGATCTGGGTGGTCTCAGGCTGCCCTGGCCACCTCTTCCCCATGCCCCTAGTGAGACACAACCCTGGATGGCCTCTGCCCTTGCTGCAGGGTCTCTGGAGCGCTGACCTTGAACAGCGGGGTTTTGGCACAGCATGAGCCTCTGAGGTTTCTAGGGAGCTGACTGCTGGGCCTGGGGTTATCACCAGGCTGCTGCCTGAGTTACATACAGGACACCAGGCCCCAGCCCCTGTCCTTTCTGGTTGGGACTGCTGTGCTGGGGAGAGCAAGGAATTTGGGGAGCCTTTCTCCCGGTGTAGGAGCAGAAGACAGCACATGTGGGAATGTTTGTGACTACCCCAGGAAGAGGGCTGAGCAGGGCTGCAGGGACACAGACTTCCAGTCTCTGGCCAAGGGCAGCGGGAGCATAGGGGAAGTGCCGGGGCACAGGAAATCCCTGCTTTCTGTCTGCTGGGGTCCAGGCACAGTCCTGTCCTTGACTCAGACAATGCAGCCTATGGGGGAGGTCAAGCGCTTGGGCCCGCAGGCCTGGCAGCCTGGCATTCCACCTCCACAACTTGCTGTGCGTGTTCTGGGCCAAGTGACTTGAGCTCTAGGCCTCAGTTTGCCCATCTGTAACATGGAAGAAGTCTGACATTCCCTCAAACAACTTTGTGAGAGTAAGAGAGGAGGTATCCAGCCCCCAAAACCTTGCTGTCGCTGCTGTCAGCGTGAACGAAACACCAAGCAATGGTGGCTGCTCGGTGGCTGGCACAGGAGAGAGACCCTCCACCAGGCCATGCTCCCTTCCCCAGCGGGCTGAGAACATCTGAGGGTGGATTACGGAGGCAGCCAGCTGGTCTTACCTAGGGTGAGGCACTAAGCAGTAGTGTCCAGGGCTGCTCCCTTGTCCCCTCCCTTTCAATCTGACATAGCCTCTGGTCTGAATTAACCGTTTACTTCTGATACTCCTGGAGTGCTTGAGTGGTGCAAACCATGGACACCCTCGGCTGCTAACCCAAAAGTTGGGGTCTGAGTCCACCAGGGGCGCCTCCGAAGGAATCCCCTGGCTATCTACTTCCCAAAAGTCAAAACCGTACGGAGCACAGTTGAACTCTGACACGGGTGGGGTCGCTATGCGTCAGCTCCATGGCAGCTGGTTTTTCTGAGACCTCCAGGGTGTCATTTCCAAAGCTGAATAAACTCCGTAAACCAAAGCTCGTCGCCATCGAATCTATCCCGACTCATAGTGACCCCGTCACTATCCCTCAGAACTGTCCCTCAGGGTTTCCAAGGCTGTCAGGCTTTACAGAAGCAGACTGCCATGTCTTTCTCCTGTGGAGTAGCTGGTGGGTTCAAACCACTGACCTTTGGGTTCACAGCCAAATGCTTAACCATTGTACTGCCAGGGCTCCTCTGAATAAGCTAAATGATTAAAAAACCAGTTCCCTGCCATCACATCCATTCTGAGCATCATTGGGTTTCCGAGGCTGTGTCAGTCTTTACAGAAGCAGACTGCCTCACATCTTTTCTTCCAGAGAGTGGCTGGTGGGTTCGAACCACTGACCTTTGGGTTAGCAGTCAAATAAATGCCATAACCACTACACCACTAGAGGTCCTTAAGCTGATTAAGGGACCTTATTTTTGTGTCTCTTGGCTCAGGGTGTAAGGGCTTTTGCCCTGTTGGCAGCTGCCGCTGGGCTGAAAATGGGAATAAAGGCAGGCGGCCAGGGGCGCCCACCAGGTAGGCTGTGGGGCCGAGGCGCAGGCAGCCTCCCGACACCTGTGTTCTCTCCCGCAGATGTGCACTCCCAGCAACACACCTGCCACGCCACCTAACTTCCCCGATGCCCTGGCCATGTTCTCCAAGCTGCGCACGTCGGACAGCCTGCAGAGCGCCAACAGCCCCATGGCGGCCGTGGCCTGCTCGCCCCCTGCAAACTTCAGCCCCTTCTGGGCTTCGTCACCCCCCAGCCACCAGGCGGCCTGGATCCCGCCCTCCTCCCCCACGGCCCACAGCTTCCACCACCTCCACCACCCACAGCCCACGTGGCCCCCCGGAGCACAGCAGGGGGGGGCCCCGCAGAAAGCCATGGCGGCAATGGACGGCCAGAGATGAGACTGGAGGCCACCGCCAGGCGGGCGCTGGGGGTGCCCAGGGCGGGGGGCACTGAGGAGGGAGCCGGGAGGGGGGAGCCGGGGCGGGCGGGGGGTTTCCTGAAGATCGCACTGGAAGATTTTATAGAAGAATTTTTGTGGGGGTGGGGGGACAGTAAACTTCCTGAGCCTCGTGGGTCCTTGAGGACTTTCTCTTCGGGCAAGGTTTTTTCTCTTTTTAATATGTGTAATATATATAAATATATGGATGTAACTAAGTATGTGAGCATGGGGCTGGTGGAGTCGAGAGGCGGGAGGCCGGGAGAATCCTGGGGCCGGCACCCCCCTACTGCACCCTGTCCCAGTGGCGACGTGATGCGCAACGTGACGTTGCAGCCCGAGCTATCTGTTGGCTGCCTTTGAGAAGGCAGACCTGGAATTGGGAGGAGCGAGGCTCACCACCTCTCCAGTCCAGGGGCAGCCAAGGAGAGGCCGCCGGGCACCCCGGAAGTGCCAAGGCCCCTTTTGCCACCCCCAGGCTCTCCCCTTGCCCACCCCCAGTTGCTGGTGTGGTGCCTGGGTGCCTCTGGCTCGACCCACTCTCCTGGGGTCATCCCTGTGTCAGGCTGAGTATGGAGGTGGCTAGGGGGCTGAGGAGCTGGCTTGGGACAAAAGCGATTCCCTGCCATCGCGCCCATTCTGACCAGCACTGGGTCAGCCCTGCCCAGCTGGGGACTGGCCGTCCCACCCGCGGCTGTGCCACCAGCACCCTGCCTCTCCCGCCCAGTGTCCGGGCTCCGAGGAGGTGCGCCTGGCCGAGAGCTCGCCTTTGGGTTTTGTTCCCAAATCAGAATCTCATCTCCAGGGTGAAATTTTAATTTAAAATCTTAAAAAGAGACTTTTCTAACTTCCCTGGTTTGCAGTGTTTTTATTCACCGTGGTAGGAGCCCCGGCGCCTTGGGGGGTGGAGGCGCTCGCTGCGCTGCGCAGGGAGCCATGGCCGCCGCCATTTCACTGACCTGCGCGTTTTCTCCTTTGGGCGGCGGGTGAGGGGGGTGGTGGTCCAGGGAGGACTGAGGTCGGGTGTAAAGCAGAGAGGATGGCTGACTAGCTTACACCACCCTCTTTCCTCGTTGGCCCGTGGTCTGCCGCTGCCGTGTAGCCCACCAGGGGCGGAGGACCTCCCGATGGGGCCTCAGGGCTCCGCCCAGAAGCCATTTTCTTTTGCAGCCGGTAGAGGGCCTGGTCCACCTGGAGGCCTCCTGAGGGCAGCCCTCTTCCCCGGCCCTAGCCTCCAAGGCATTTCTTAGCCTGGCCGCCTGTACTGTCCTGCCCTCCACTTCCTTTGGTGTGGTGTGCCCCTACGTGCGCGGTGTACGGCCATGTCCCAAAGGACAGCCAAGGGTGTTGGGGAGCCGTTGGGATGGGGCCTGTTCCCCTAAGGGACTTGCCTCCTTCACTGTGTTACATTACAGCCCACCCACATCCCCTGCCCAGGTATTAGAACAGGGGTAGCACCGACATGTGGCCCAGCAACCCCTCCCAGCTTTTCTGGGCAGGTGGGGGTGGGGTGGGGAGGAATCTGTTCACCTGCAGTGGGAGTGGGTGACCGGTCACGTGGGTGGCATTCCCCCTGGAGCCCCAAGCTGGGGTGAGTAGTGCTACCTTCTGCAACATGCCTCTGCGTATGGGCGCACCCCCCACACACACACACACACATACAGCCTTTGGGGTCTCCTCTGCTGGGGCTGGAGGGGCATGCCCCTTCCCCTAGCCTGCCCTGCCATCACACTCTCCCTAGGTCTGAGGGATACAGGTGGGGGCGGGGTCCTGGGACTTTGGGGCCCAAAGTGAAGTGAAACCCGAGAGACACCCAGCCAAGCCAGCCCCCAGTTGTGCGGGGGGGGGGGGGAGGTCTTCTCCGATCTTCTCAAGCTTGTTCCTGGGGCAGCCCCTCCTTTGGTGGAGCAGAACCCTGGGCCCGGTTGCCCAGGCCTGCCCTCTGCAGGGGCCCGTCTGTGGCTTTCGAAGCTGGCTCTGTCCTTTCAGTTTTGTTTCCTGAGCTGAGGCCTGTTGGGAACCCTCGGGCCTCCGAGGCACCCCAGCACCCTGCTCAGCCGTGCTTTCCCCCGTGGGAAGACAGGGAGCCCCTGGCAGCTCCCAGTGGGGCAATCCGGAGGCCAGGCGCCTGGCTGGTCACGCAGGGTCCTGGGCACAGGAGTTCTGGTGAGGGCCAGTGGGGGGCCCCGGCACAGGAGTTAGAGGGTTGGCCTGGGCTGCTGGGGCGTTGGGGCAGGGTGAGAAGAGCTGGCCTGGCTCCTCCCTGCTAAGCAGGTGAATTTGGAGTCCAGAACAAGGAAACTGAGCCGACTAACCTTCTGACATTTCACAGGCAGGGGTGGGGCCTGAGCGACAGAAATGGAGCCCGGGGCAGGTGTGGAGGAGGGGGGAGGGGTGGCCCTGGCCCTGGGGGGTGCATGGGGAGGGGGGCTGCTCAAGTTGCGCCTCTCTCGGCCCAAAGGTTATCTGGATCGCAGATGTGGGGTGGGGGAAACAAGGGGCAGCCCCTCCCATGGGGAACACCCACCTGCCCCCCGCAATAGAGCCAGTCAGCTCCCCCCTTTCCCACAACAGAGTGGGGAGGAGGAACACACTCTCCTGTGTGATTCTGCCGCCCCCTCACCTCACACCCTAAAGCAGGCCTCTGGCCCCCGGCTTTGCTTTCCCTTGTCACAGGTGAGATGGGGGTGGGGGGAGCCCCGCCTTTGATTCGGGCCACTGCTTTCCCTCTGAGCCATGGGAACAGAGCTGAAGGCAGAAACTGTGCCTTGATGTATTAGGGTTTTGTGAGCCTGGGGGTGAGGGGCAGCTCTCACTAGTTAGGGACACCCCAGGGTGTCCTCTAGCTGAGGGGGGATGGGAGAACCCTCCATGCCCAGGGCTCCTGGGTTGGGGTTGGGCAGCATGTAGGAGGTGGGGTGTTGTCCTTGTAGACACAACACCTGCCTGAGCTCAGCCCTACCTGGGCCCCTGGGTCCCCTGCCACCTCCATGACCTTTAGCACAAAGAATGAAGTGAACCCTCTTATCCGCAGGTTTCGGGGGGCTGGTTCTGCGTGCGGCCGGTGTGGAGAGAGCACACTGAACCAGGGTTGAGCCCTGCCCACCCCCAGCTCTGCCTCCCCTGGGGAGAGAAGGAGCGGGAAATAGGGCAGAAGTCATTACCAGGGCTGGCAGGCCTCGCTGTCTCTGAAGCTGCCCCTTGAAGGCTAAGGACAGCAAACAAAACTCCCCAGTTGGCTGAAGGCTTCTGGCTGGTGGCATTGCGCCCACAGGCCCCATGCCAGGCACTGGAACCTGCCCTGAGCCAACAGTGGGAGAGCTGCAGGCAGCTGCCACCCTCCCCTTCACGCCAAGGTACCGCTCACCCACAGCACCACGGGGCCCCTAGCTCCTTGGGCCGGCTCCCTTGGACCTGAGTGCAGCACTGGAGCGGACCAGCCAAGGTCAAGAGAGTGCTGGTGGGTGGGAGGCCAGGCCCCAGGAAGGCTGAACCTGGCGCCAGAGCCAGGCCTGGCCCACCTGGGTACGGTGCTCAGCCTCTCAGAGGCCAGCACCCTTGGGAGAACGGCTCTTGTCCCCCGGCTGCTCTAGATCCATGCCACAACCTCATTCCCAGGGGCTCTGGGGGTCCCGGCCAGCAGTGGGCACCTCCTCCTGCCTCCATCACCATCAGAGTCTCGAGACCCCCAGCATCTTCGCAAACATTTATTGACCGCTCTGCTCAGTGAGCAGTGGTGGACCGCGGCCCCCGGGTGGGCTCTTCGACCCCCTCCTGAGGAGGCACATCCACGCGCAGCCCTAGGCCCACAGGGCTGCCCGCCGGCAGGTGTTCCATCGCAGTGGGGCTGGGCGGGTGCACCAAGTTCGCCCGGGAGAGGCGGCCCTCGGAGGAGACAGGCCTGTCTTTCTGCTGACGGGAAGGGGCTGAAAGAGAGGGAGAGCTGAACCTGCTCCCACCTCACTCCCCACGCCTCCCTGGGGCCCACCTGCTGCCCACCACAGCTTGCCCAAGGCCCGGGGAAGCTGGGAGCAGCCCCACTAGTCAGGCTGAGGCTGGGCATGAGGCTGGAGACGAGAATGGCCCCAGGCTTCAGTGCAAGCCCAGGTCCTGGCTCCTGAGCCCACCGTCAAGGCCTCTTTAAATCTTTATGAATTAAATAAACAAACAAGCCCCTTTCCGGGGCAAGAGGCAGCCTCCCTGGTGATATCCCTCAATTAATTAAACAGTCCCTGTTAAGGCAACATTCAAACATATTTAAAAAAAAAAAAAAAGCAACCAGCTGCCATTGCCTCCAACTCATGCGACCTGTGTGTCAAGAGCAGAGCTGGGCTCCGTAAGGTTTTCAGTGGCCGGTTTCTCAGAAGGAAGTCACCAGGCTTTTCTTTCGAGGTGCCTGCCTTTGAGTGGATGTGAACATCCAACCTTTTGGTTGGCAGCGCTTTTTGCAAAGACTACCCTCCCTCCCTCTCCTGCTTCTATAGCATCACAAATGCCCTTGGAGCAGACAGTGAAGTGCCAGGAAGAAGGGAGCTAAGTGCCCCAAGAAGACAGAGTCCCGGGAGCCAGGGACACAGACCTGTGTCTGTTGTCCACCGTCTGTCCACTCCGCCCAAGCTGCCCTTGGGGCCCAGCATTGCCTCAGTTACCAGTGCTGGCTCTGAGGACAGCCAGCCTGGCTTCCAGTCCCAGCTCTGCCACTTTCTAGCTGTGTGACCTTGGGCAAGTGCCTTAGTCAGTCTGTGCTTCAGTTTTCTCAACTATAAATGGGGCTGACAACGGTCCCTACGTCTTCACACTGTTGTGAAGATTAGAACTTTGTTCATATGGTATAAAGCTCCTAAACGGTACCGGGCTGGGGAGAAGCTGGGACCACCATTTTCCTGCATCCTTTGGCTCAGCCAGACACCGAAAGCCGGAGCTGCGAGGCATATCAGACAGCATCTGGGATGGGGCTCTGCACCTGGGAGGGTTGTATGGGGGCTCCCCAGGACCCTTGAGCCTCCTGAAAGCATTTGCCAAGTGCTGTGGGTTTATTAGGGTTTCAAGGGAGCCTAACGCTGAGGCACTGATCTAGCGACCCCTTGTGGACAGATGGGGAAACTGAGTCTGGAGAAGGGAAAGACTTGCTCAGTCACTGGGTAAGAGAAGCAATCAGCCTGCTGACCCTGGGTCAGTGCTACCCTCGGGCCTCCATGTCCTACAGTGTCCCCAGGCCCTGGTGTGGCCAAACCCTGGGCTCTCTGGCTTCCAGGCATGATTCGGTCCTTCAGGTGAGAACAGGGAGTCCCGGGCCCTTCTAGGCCAGGCTGAGGAGCTCTTGGGGGCCATGCCATGACCCCATGTCCACCAGCTGCCTCAGCTGCCATACAGAGCCCTGCAGAGTCCCTGCATCTGAGCAGGGGAAGGACTCAGGCCTGGAGCCAGAGCCTTGGGTTGCAACCCTGCTTTATTTTCCCTTCTGTAAAATGGGGACAGTGATAGTATCTCCTAACGGCCAGGCACATGGCAGGCACTTAGTGATGATGTTTTTCCCTCCCTCCCCTACCCCATCCCTCGGCTCCCAGGCCCTTCCTCTCTCCAGGAAATAAAGGTATAAAGCAGCCATGAGGCAGGAAAGGACTGGTACAGCAGGAAGGAGAGGCGAGCCGCAGGGCCGAGGCTGCTTTGGAGGGACCCTCCGCCCACAGGGAGGCTACCTGGGTTGTTGCCAACCGTCATCTGAGCACTCTGAGGCCGCGAGGGCACCTGGCCCTTGTCACCCATGGGCTGCTGCCGTTGCACGTGGAGCCGGGACTGCTTGGACTTGTGTTTTGTCAATCCTTGGGCTGACAGGGGACCGTGGGAGGAAAGGTCAGAGCTGGGAGACACTAGAGGAGAGCGCCGTGGGGACTCGTTAGGATGGGGACAGGGCTGCAGGGCTGCTGTCATGGCCAGCCTCAGCCGGGTCCCTTCTCAATCTGAATTCATGGAGACGCCCCTTGTAAGACTTCATCCATTCTCTTGTCCATCCACCTACCCCATTATCCATCCATACGTCTGTCCATCAATCAACCATCCGTCCATCTACCTATCTGTTCATCTGTCCATCCAACCATTTGTCCGTCATTCCATCCAATTGTCTGCCTGCCCATCCATCATCCATCCAGTCGTCTGCCCGTCCATGTCTCTGTCCATTCATCCATCTGTCTAGCCACCAGCCAGCCATCATCCATCCACTCACTCAGATATTCTCTGAGGGTATATGAATGTCAGCCCTGTGCCAGGTGCTGGGTGAGTTTTGACCCCGGTTTATAGTTCCAGAGGATGACAGCTAGAAAGGCACCTCTCAGCTGCAGTACAAGGTGGGGAGTGAGAAGCAGTCTCTTCAGTGAAGGATGTAACTAGCAGTGGGTCTTGCAGGGAGCATGTGGTCGCTCCATGGTGGGGGCTCAGGAGAAGGCACCCTGCTGAGTTTGGAAGAAGGGGCAGGGCTTGGCTGTGGCAAGGCTGTGAACAAGGCTGAGGCAGGACACAGCATGAAGATGAAAGGTCAACAAGATGGGGCCACAACACCCCAGCTAATTGGCTGAGGCCGGATAGCGCCCTCCACCTGAAGGCAGTCACCTGGTGGCTTTTGGAGACTTGAATGTTTGGAGTCAGGGATGTAGACAAGGAAGGAGCCCGGGGTCCAGTGGTCCAAAGAAGTACCTGAGCTGCCAAGAGAGGGATGGTGCTCTATGGGACCTGAGCTACCTGGATACTCACTTTCTTTGGTCAGGATGCCCGGCAGCCTTGTATCCATCCGTCCTTTGTAAATATGTCCATCCAGACCCAAGATGTCCACCTCGTCATGCTGTGGAGATGAACACACATCTACCACCATTGCGGCACTCAGAGCTTCCCTTGGCAGCCCAGGGCTCCCAGCACTGTCTTCTCCTAATTCGTGGCACCAAACAGTGCTCAGAACCTCCCGGGAACTTGGGCTGGGTGGAGCAACAAGGTGAAGGGAAGTGGAGGCAGTCCCCTTACAAGGGCCCGTGGTGGGAGGCAATTGTGCGATGTGGGCAGGGGCCAGGATGGGGTTCTTCTCCCAACACAGGGTAAGGCCCTGAGACTTTAACTGGGCTAGCTTAACCACTGCCTCCAGGCAGGGGGCTGTTGAGGTGACTTCTGCAGGTTTCCCCTGAATGATGAGATTCTCTGGGGACAAGGGCCCTCTCTGCCCTGGGCAGCCCCCAACCTTCATGGCGATCTGGATCTCCTCGGAGGGGTACAGGCCCTGCGGCAGGTGCTGCAGGCGGTTGCGGCGGTAGGGGTAGGTGAGGGTGTGGCTGCCTCCACAGCTCCGCGGCACCGACGAGTAAGTGTAGTCGGGCATGTCTGGCACCCTGTGAGGAAGAAAGCCGTGGAGGCATTTAGAGCAGGCCACCAGGGACATGACCTGGGACACACTTATGGGAGGGGACAGGCCGGGGGGAAATAAGGCAGCTCTCTTCAGGGGTCTCTGGGAGCCAGCGCAGGAAGCACCAAGCGAGTAGAGCAACCTTGGGCTGGGTCATTCTGAGGAACACACACACATACACATAACCGCATGTATACAAGCACACGTGTACATGCACACGCACACACATGCGCCACATGTGCGCACACATACATACATGCACACACTCACTCCTGCCCCTCGGGTGCTCCTGTATACCCCCAACCTGGTCCCAGAACCCCCCTAGTAGACTCCCAGGCTAAGCACACACCCACCCTTTAGTTGACACCCGCAGAGTAAACAGATTCCAAGGAAACAGCCTCCATTTCATCCATCTGAGGCTGTGGGAGGTAACCTAGACACACACACACTCACACTCACTCATCACACATACACATATTCTCATTTACACACTGTCACACTTACACACTTAACTCGTACACATGCTGCACACTCATACATTCACTCAGCTGTCTCACACACTGCACACACACTCAGCTGACACACACACATCCACTCAACTCATACAGATTCACACTCAACTGTTTTACACACACTGCATATGCTCAACTGACACACACATTCATATACACACTCAACTCGTACACACTCAGCTGTCTCATACACTTACCACACAGTCACGCTCGCACTCACTCTACACACACTCCATCACTCTCACTCACCCCCATCATGCTCACTTCCTCTCCGCCACTGCAGTAAGGTGGGCAGTCGGTGGCCACGCGAGGGCAGAGCCCAGCACCCAGGGCCTCTGCAGCACCGTGGCGTCTCCCCCGCACTCCGCCCTGCGCCCCTGCCCCCCTGCCCTCCTACCGCTTGTAGCAGGGGGAGGTGAGACACTGGGCCTGCAGCAGCTCGCGGATCATCTGGCTGCTGGCCTTGACGGAGCCGCCGAAGTGCAGCTGCACCTTCTCGATGTCCATCAACATCCTGGAGTGGATGGTGCGCAGGCGCCCCACGCTCCGCTCCAACTGGCCCAGGTCGCCGCGGGGGAAGGCACTGCCCACCTTCAGGCTGCAGGCAGAAGCCAGGCCTCGGGAGTGGGCTCCACCTTCACAGCCCGCACCTGAGGGACCCTCAGCCAGACTTGCCAGGGAGGGGTTTCCTCAGTTGGGCAAGTGCGGACAGGCCGAAGCGGAGAGCTCCGGCGGAAGCCACGGTGGAGCTGGGACTAGGCCACTCGCCTCTCCCTGTCACCAGAGCCCCTGCGGCTTCAAAATGCAGTCTGCAAACCACGCCTGTGGCTGAATCCCATCATGAAGAGCTGGGAGGCAACGGAAAGCAGGCCCAATGGCCGACCCCCTCTTCGCTGAGCCATGCTTCCAGCTGGGACCCTCCCCTCCTCCAGCTGAAGGAGGTAAAAGGAAGAGCTCCAAGGCAGCCTGCCCCCTCCCGCAGATCTCAGCTCAACTCCCCAAAACCCACTGCCACCAAGCGGATTCTGACCCACAGGGCCCCTAGAGGATAAAGTGGAACTGCCCCAGAGGGTTTCCAAGGCTGTCAATCTTCACAGAGGCAAAGCCCAAACCACACCCACTGCCCTGGAGTCCATTCTGACCCACAGCGCCCCTAGAGGACAGACTGAAACTGCCCACAGGGTCTCCAAGGCTGTCAGTCTTCACAGAAGCAAAGCCCAAACCACACCCACTGCCATGGAGTTGATTCCGACTCACAGCGCCCCTAGAGGACAGAGTGGAACTGCCCACAGAGTCTCCAAGGCTGTCAGTCTTCATGGAAACAAAGCCCAAACCATGGAGTTGATTCTGAGCCACAGCGCCCCTAGAGGACAGAGTGGAACTGCCCCATAGGATCTCCCAGGTTGTCAATCTTCACAGAGGTAGACTGCCTCATCTTTCTCCTATGGAGTGGCTGGTAGTTCGAACTGCTGACCTTTTGGTCAAGTGCTTAACCACTGTGCCACCTGGGCCCCTCCCAAAACTCCAGAAGGTACCAGAAAGGAAGGCTATTACAGGCTCTTCCTTCTTCTCCCTCCTGGTGTGCAAGCCCTGGGAGATGCTGGGAGCCCCAGGTACCCCATGGGAGAAGGAGGCCTCTGCATCGCTCCCCAGAACTGCAGGCCTTTGGAGGGGCCCCTGCCCTGCCCAGTGCTGCCGGGGACACCCTCCACGGCCCGTACTTGCGGCTCTGCTGCCGGACCTGCTCCAGCTCAAAGATGGTGTAGGGCCGGATGGACCGGTGCTTGGGCAGGCAGGGACTGACTGGTGTCACGGGGGTGATTCTGGGAAGGAACAGAGAGAGGGTGGGTTCTAGCGTGAGACCCCCAGCGTGTCTCCAAATGCGCCACCACCTACCTGCCCTACCTGCCAGAGGACCTTCCCCACCAGATAGAGCCACCCAGGTGGGGCCAGCCCGGGTGGGCAGAATGGTGGGAACCAGGCCAGGCACACGGAGCCAACCCCGAGAGAAGCAAGGGAGAGAAGAGTCGGGATGAGCAGGGATGGAGATGAAGCCTGCTGGGCCCTCCCCTTCACGGCCACCAGCTGGGGCCCACAGAGGAGCCAGGAGCCAGGTGTGGGCACTTACTGTCCGGTCACAGGTGTCTCCAAGGGGCGGTCACACGAGAGGCAGTGGAAGTGCACCAAAAGCTGCCTGTTAGGAACAGGGTGCCTGCTAGGTGAGCACCTGCCCACAGGGCCCTGGGTGGAAGACGTGGAGAACTGGGAGGCAGCTTGGCCCATGCAGGCCAGGCTGGCTGGAAGCTCAGTTCCTGGGGTGGTGGACCCCAGGTCAAATCTGCTCCTAAGGGCCTGACCCAAAGCCAGCAGGGGGTTCCCAGGCCTTCTGAGGGGGGTTTGTGTGAGCCTCAGGGGCCCTCTAGTGGCCAAGGCAGGAGAGTCTGGACGCAAGCCTGCCACGGGCCAGGGCCCCCAGGGGCAGCTGAGCACATCCCTGCCCAGAGAGCCTGATGTCTCCACCTGGTCCCAGCGGGAATCTACCTCCTTTCTCCTCTGTGATACGAGGGAGCTGAACTAAGAGACCTTTGCCAGCTCTGAATTCTGTCCGTCCAACTCCGGAGCTGGTCATCTGGGGGCCCACCTGGCGGACCACTTGCCCTCACCCCACGGGGCGTCCCCGGCCTCACCTCCTCATGATGGCTGCCTCGTCCGCCTGGTACAGTGGAGAGCGCTCTTTGAGCTGTTGCCGCAGTGATTTCCAGCGTTCCTCCAGCAGCTGCTTCACTGGGTCCAGCTCCAGCCGGTCCAGCTGCAGGGGCGAGGGGAGGGCAGGTGAGTGCCGACTAAGAAGGCAGGGGGAGCTGGCTCGAGGAAGGTGGCATCGTCCCGGGCAGGGGTAGGGCAGTGCTGAGAGCCCCTGCCTCTCGGAGCCTCCTCGTCCTCACCTTGCTGTCCATCTCAAGTAGAAGCTTGTCCACCATCTTCTGCCAGTCCTGCTCCTGCCCGCTGATCTTGGCCAACAGCTCCTGCATCATGTAGTTCAGTTGCTCTGTGGTCGTGTCAAACTGGACGCGGCTCACTTTGCCTGCCAGGGCACTCTTGTCAGCTTTCTGCCCAGGAGAAAGGAGAAGGCCCTCACAGGCGCACAGTCAGGAGGCGCCCTGGGCCCAGAGGGGTCGACATCCAATACAGCAGGTTTCCCCGAGCCCACGTTCCCCCACGCCTCTGTTCCAAAGAATAACCTGTAACATTTCATATGCACTCGGGTAGCTAGTAACAGGAAACAAGTGTTGGTGAGCACATGGAGATACTGGGACCTCTATGTGTTGATGGTGGGAACGTAAAAGGGTGTAGCCGCTGTGGAAAAGAGTTTGGTGGGTCCTTAAAAAATTAAACATAAAATTACCATGTTGTTAGGTGCCATGGAGTTGATTTTCGACTCACAGCGACCCCGTGTCACAGTGGAACTGGCCCACAGGGTTTTCTAAGCTGTAATGTTTACGGAACAGAGCTGCTTGGTCTGTCGCCCACAGAGCTGCTGGGGGGTTCAAACTGCCAACCTTTCAGTTGGCATCAGTGCACCACCAGGGCTCCTTAACGACCATACGACCTGACAATTCCACTCGCAGGTAGATACCCAAAAGGTCCAAACAAGTATTTGCGCACCAATGTTCCTTGCAACATGAATGAAGGTGGAAACAACCCAAATGTCCATCAACAGGTGAATGGGTAAATACAATATGGTCCATTCACATGGTGGAATATTATGCAGCCATGAAAACATGCTCTGTGAGATAAGTCAAACTCAAAAGGACAAATGCAGTATGATCCCACTTATAGGAACGATCCAGAAGCTGGAAACACAGAGACATAAGTCTATCAGTGGTGGCCAGGAGATGAGGGGAGAAGGGAATGAGGGTTACTGCTTACGCAGTACTGGGTTTCTGTTTGGGGTGATGAAATATTTTTTGGAACTGAATAGTGGTGGCAGTTGGACAGCGTGGTGAATGGGATGAATGTCTGAATAGTAGACTTAAGACTGGTGGAAGGAGCCCTTTTTTAGTGATGTGTAGTTTACCACAATCTAACCCCCTTGATAACTGGCAGAGCTAGTGAGCTCATCCTGGGACACCGGCAGCCCTTGGGGACCCGAGCTTACCACATTGATCTCCATCTCTAGGTGTTCCCTGTTGGCTTTTTCCTTGTCCAACCTCTCTAGACCCTGGTACAGTACCTGGGAGGAGAGGCAAGCAGAGAATAAAGAGAGAGGAAGGGCCGGGCGGGGGCCGGGCGGGGGTGGGTGGAGCTGGGCCCCTCACATCTATGTCCTTCTGCTTCTCCCGGTGGTCTTTGATGAGGTTGCTGGTGGTGATGTTGAGCTTCTCACAGTCGCCCTGCACCTGCAGGATGGCGCTCTGCACGTGACCCAGCAGCTCCTCGTCCTGAGCAGAGGGACAGAGGACACCTTATCCCTACCTGGCCCTGCTCCATGACGAGTCAGCCCTTGCAACACCACCCACACACGAGCTCACTTCAGACCCCGTCCTGGCTTTTGTCAGTGGCCTTCTCAGCTTCCCACTGATGATGGAGAAAGCTGTCTGTCCTCTCCCTGTGAACTCTGGCCTCCAGGGACCCTGGACCCTGGTGCGGGGTGCTGCCCTGGTTCACTTCTGCTTCTCTGCCCCAAAGGTCCCAGGATCCTGAGTGATCAGTAAAGCTCAGGAGGGACGAGATGGCCTGTGGCCAACCCCCGAGAGGTGGGGTATAGGTCCCAGCTGCCCCCTTCACCTGGGCTGGCTCTGAATTCCCGAGTCCACGAAGTAGGACTCAAAGACTTGGGGCCCTCCTGTTCCCACCTCCCCCCTCCCGCTCACCAGTCTACCTTTCAGAGGGAAGTTTGGAAGGTTCAGGAAAAGTGGTGAGCAGGGTGCCAATGTCTCCTGCAGCCTGCATGCGAACGGCACATCTCCATCCCAGCCAGCCTGTGTCAGCTCTGCCCCCGAGTCCCTGACCCGGGACCTAGCTCTGCCTGCCCTCAGTGTGCCTCTGTGAATGGACCAGGGGCTCCACAGTGGAGAACCGACCCTCAGGCCCAGACATCCCCTGGGGGGCACTCTATCAGCTGTTTCCCCGTGGGCCCCAGAGCTGTTCTCCCGCGACCCGTGTCTGCTGCCCCAGGCGAGGGAGCGGAGCGTCACCTGGCTCTGGAGCCTGGCTTTCTTGGACGGCCGGGAGGCGGCCAGGTTGTTGACCATGTCCTGGAGGTGCTCATAGCGCTGCACCAGCGTGCTGACCTGGTGGCTCACGTCCAGGCTGCAGGCGGGGCAGGTGGCCTCAGGGTCAATCTGGCCGGGAGTCAAGGTCACTGGGGCCTTGGGCGGGGCCATGCTCAAGGACAGCAGCGTGGAAGAGGAGGTCATCATGCTCTCAATGATCGTCCTGAGCTTGTCCAGCTGGGTGCAGGGATGTGAGTTGAGACACGCCGCGTTATGTCCAGGCCTCACCGCTAGCTTGGTGCCTGTGCCCTCCGCCTGCTGTGACGGGAGCAACTGCCACCCCCTCGGTGCTTGCTGAGTGCATGGCACACAGTAGGTGCTTAATGTGGGTTCGTGAGGTAGTGACCAGAGTCCTCAGGGAGTGTAGCATTAATGCCAAATAAGCCGTTGCCGGAGAGAAGTTTCTGGAACCTTCTCCAGCCAGCCCATTGGTCCATGTGAGAACAGACCTCCTCTAGCTGAATCCTAAAGTGGTGATGGTCTGTCCATCAGTCCCTGTGTAGAGCACCCTGACAACACAGAAGGCTCTGGGGGCATGGGAGTGGGCTCACTCAGGCTCTGTCTCCATGTACTGTGTACATCACTGGCAGTACACACATGTGAAGAGTGCCCTGACTCCCACAGGGGTCACTCCTGGTCTGGGTAGGTACAACCCCTTACATACACACACACTGCTTTGTGTCCACTGGTCCATTTGTCACCACAAAGGATGGGATCCCAAGGTGGACACCTAATTCCAAGGCGACCAATCCCTGTGATGTATGGCTGGCTCAGAGAGAGCCAACCTGCGCCCCTCTCTTGTGGGTATAGAGAGAAGTCCAAGCCGGTAGTGGGTGATGAGGCAGAAAGGATGTTGCAAGGGCTGGGACAGCCATCTTGGACCATGTCTGAGGGGCAAGAAGCTGACTGCAAGCAGAGTGGAAGAGTGCCACCGGCAGAGTGGGAGAGCTGGGTCAGGACAGGGACACAGAGGTACAGAAACACCCCAAAATAGAGTAGGACAGCAGTGAGTGCCCCCCGCCCCAGAGCTGCCCACTTCCCCAACACCCTACATGTGCATCTACTCTCAATGGCTCTTCCTTCTTCCTGAGTTCACCGGAGCTTTTTAGCTCATAATCAGAAGAGGCTACATGGTGGCCAACACACTATAGCACCCCAGGACACCAAAGGACAAAGGAGTTCTTTCCAGAAGACGCGAAAGGGCTTCCCAGAAACTGCACGTCTGAGTGGACTCTTGAAGAACAAGTGGCAGCAGAGAAACAAGAGTCCGAAGGGCATTCTGGGAAGAGGAATGGCAGGAGGAGGCAGCAGTGTGCTCGGAGTGGGGGACGACGCCCCGGGGGCTGCTAATTGCAGACACCTGCGCGAGCAACAGGTGGCTCTTCCACACACTATCTGCTGTCCCTCAAGTCCAGCACCGGGCAATCAGGGCCTAGGGTCACAACATGGTACATGTCACCGCTCCAGCAAACGTGGGAGGGGACCCCGAAGCAAAGCAGCTCCTGCCATGAAGCCCCTTGGCCCAGTGGCTTTTCCTATCTGGTCTATGAGTGCTCAGGGGGCTGTCCCTGGTGCAGACACTTCTGGGGTTACCAGGAATGGCATCATTCGAGATTTAACGGCAGATGCCGTCAAGAAAGTGAAAAGAAAATGTACAGAATGGGAGAAAAAGTTTGCAAATCATCTATCAGATAAGGGTCTAGTAGTTAGCCCGCAAAAAAGAACTCTTACAACTCAACAATAAAAAGACAAACAGACCAATTTAAAAATGGGCAAAGGGTTGGAGTAGACATTTCTCCAGAAGTGGCCGGGAATCAAACCCAGGTCTCTCACACAGAAGGCCAGAATTCTACCACTGAACCACCAGTGCCCTGTTCCTGTTGCCCTGTTGCTGTCAAGCCAATTCCAACTCACAGCGCCCCTAGAGGACAAATCAGAACTGCCCCCAGGGTTTCCAAGGCTGTCATCTTTATGAAAGCAGATTCCCAGTTTTCTATCACGGAGCAACTGGCAGGTTTGAACTTCTAACCTTTTGATGAGTAGCCAAGTACTTAGCCACTCCACCACCAAATGCATCATAAGGCCCCATTAACCAAACCCATTGCCGTGGGTCCGACTCACAGCAACCCTGTGGGACAAAGTATAACTGTCCCATAGAGCTTTCAAGGCTGTAAACTTTACAGAAGCAGACTGCCTCATCTTTCTTCTGTGGAGCAGCTGGTGGATTTGAACCACTGACCTTTCAATTAGCAGCTGAATGCTTTAACCACTGTGCCACCAAGTCTCCTAAGGCCCCATTGTTGTTGTTGTTGTTGTTATGTGCCATCGAGTCAGACCCGACTCATAGAGACCCCTCCTTGGGTTTCTGAGGCAGTATCACTACGGAAGTAGATTGCCCCATCTTCCTTCCGAGGAGTGGCTGGTGAGTTTGAACCATCAGCCTTCTGGTTAGCAGTCAAGTGCCTTAGCCACTATGCTACCAGAGCTCCCAAGGCCCCATTAGGAAAGTGCAAATAAAAACCACAACAAGATACCACTTTACTGCTACTAAGCATGCTATACTGAAAAAGAGATATAATAACAAGTGCTAGTGAGGGTGTGGAGACACTGGAACCCTCACTGTTGGTGGGGATGTAAAGTGGTGCAGCGGCTGCGGAAGACAGTGTGCCAGTTCCTCAAACGAGTAAGGGGAGTTATTACCATATGGTCCAGCAATTCCATTCCTAGGTATTTATACAAGAGAAATGAAAACATAGCCACACAAAACTCATGCATGAATGTGCACAGCCCCATTACTCATAAGAGCCAAAAAAGGAAACAGCCCTGATGTCCATCAACTGACGAATGGATACCAAAATATGGACTATTATCCAGCCACAAACATGAAGTACTGATACATGCTAAGCGTGGATGACCTTCACAAACACGCTAACTGAAAGAAACCAGCTCCCAAAGACCACATATGTCATGGCTCCATTTACATGGACTGTAAACCAAAACACTCACTGCCTTTGAGTTGGATCTGATTCATAGCGACTCCTCCTTGGGGTTCTGAGATGGTATCTCTAAGGAAGTAGATTGCCCAACCTTCCTTCTGAGGAGTGGCTGGTGGGTTTGAACCGCCGGCCTTCTGGTTAGCAGTCAATGCCTTAGGCACTACACCACCAGAGCTCTATATATGTGCACTATACAGATGAACAAATCCATAGAGACAGAAAGTAGAGTAGGGGTTTCCAGGTGCTGGGGGTGGGAGACAGAGTGACTGCTAACGGATACGGAGTTACTTTTTGGGGGATAAAAATGCTCTGGAATTAGTGGTAATGGTTCTACAACAGTGTGAATCTCCCAAAACCCACCTTGTTCTTTAGAGGGGTGAATTTTATGTGAATGACATCTCAATTTAAAAAAGTCAAAATATAAAAGCTGTAATGGCAGGCCATGAAGGGGTCCTGCCCCTTGCTAGAAGGGACACACTTGCCCGTGTGCCTGTGGTCTCGGAGCTGACTTTGGATCAGGAATAGACCAGATCCTAGACATGGTCACCCCCTTGTCCCCCAGATGGAAGTGAGGGTCTGCTCACTGATGAGTGGTGACAGGCAGGACTGCCCCTACTGTCCATCACCAGCCCTGAGAATGGCCCTGGTTCCTAAGGCTGAAGGCTGGGCACTCCTCACCTGATCCTGCAGGTACAGGGAGGCCTCGGAGACTGAGTTCGCCATGGTGACCTTGCCCTGCTCTTGGCTCTCCCTCAGCTCGGCCAGCTCCTTCTCAATGTCAGCCACGGTGACTCTGTGGGACACAAGAGGCAGTGTGGCCTCGCTGCCAGCCCAGGGACATGAGCCACCAGTGCTGGGTCCAGCCATCAGGGATGGAGGAGGATGCAGACGAGGGCTCACTCATCCTCAGCAGCCTATGTCCAGAGTCCAAGGCTCTGCCTCTGGCCGGGAGCTGGGTGCCCAGTGTACTCGTTGAGAAGTTCTAGAGGGTGTGACGGGCTCTGGCAAACACTCTCCTCCAACTGGAACAGAGTCTGAGGGGCTTTGGGTTTTCCTAGCCCTGGTGCTGGGCTGTTTTAGGAACCTGGGAAAACTCAGTAAGCTTCTTGGGCTAGATACGGGCAACTGAAGAGCAGACACCATTCAGGTGAACCAAAGGCCACTATCATTCCATGGCTGAGTAAATGTGCTGGCGGGACCCACGTGCCCCCAGCAGGGGCATTTTACCTGAGAACGCCTAGCTGCAAGCCCAGCTGGCCTGCTCTCATCTCCTTTCCTGCATCTCGCATCACTTCACCTTCCAGGATCCTTTGCATCCTGTCTAGCTACAGGCCCAATGGAAAAGGAGGTCAGGCAGTCCTGGGCTCTCCACTTCCTGAATGTGCCCCTGCAGTCCAAGCAAGTCTCTCACCCACTCACTGACTGTAATCCAACCTTTAGTGACAAAAGCCAAGTTCTCCTCTGACATCCATCTGTCCGTCCGTCTGTCCATCCATCCATCCATTCACTCATCTATCCACCCATCTTTTCATCCATCCATCCATCTACTCTTCCTTCCTTCCCTCCATCCACCCATGCATCTATCCATCCATCCATCTACCTCATAAGCACCCATGGATGTAGACTGTTGGCATTAAAAGGATGGCTGAAGATCTAGCATCCCCTAGCCATGACCTCTGGCCCCAGAAAAACAGGGTCTCACAAGCTCAATTCCAAGGCTGCTCCAGTGATAGTCTTTATCAGAAATGGCCATGTAATGAAAGAAACCAAGGCCTCATTGTTTGACTCAGCTGAATCATAACAGCTTTGAGTATCAGATTTTAGATCCAGGAAATGCACATGATGATACCTGAGGTGCATTTTCCACCTGGTGGGACTGTAAAGATCTAATGAAATAATAATGCATGGGGAAAAGACATATCAAATGTGGTACCGTTGTTGTTATGTGCTGTTGAGTCGGACCCGACTCATAGCGAACCCTCCTTGGGTTTCCGGGGCAGTATCACTACGGAAGTAGATTGCCCAACCTTCCTTGTGAGGAGGGGCTGGTGGGTTTGAACCGCCAGCCTTCTGGTTAGCAGTCAAGTACCTTAGCCACTATGCCACCAGAGCTCCCAAATGTGGTATTACTAAGCACTAAAGGTAGAGTCGGCTGACTTTCCCTTACTCACTTTTGCTTTTTCTTGCCGGACTTCTTTGGTCAAGGACTTTAAGGTCTTCATCTGTTCCTGGAAGTCAGGGGGTATGCTCTTTTTAACTGTGAAAAACGGAGGCCTTATAGTCAGACAGGTTAGACTTTCAGTGCCCACCCAATCCCCATTTCCAGCCCTAAAGCAATGAAGGTGCCCCAGGGAACAGCAGGACATTATCACTTATCTTGCTTGTCCTGGTGGCTGCGGGAAGGGGTCAGAAGAAGACAAAAAGGACTAGCCTTAGCCCATAAAATTTCTACTTTCACGTGATGTCCTAAAGGCCTTTGGGACCACTGGCCCACCATTGCCACCCATTTCTAAAATCTTTATTCTTTTCTGGGCCAAGAGTTGTGAATGGTTTGATTTTTCTCCCTCCCCCAGTGACATTGCTTTCCCTTTCCCAGCACTTTCCCCAGCAACTACCCAAGGGTCCAACAAGTAAGGGAGAACCTGCTTCCACCTTCAGTCCTACTCTTTTCCTTGCCTCTTTTGCCCACCTATGCATTTAGACCCTGGGAGCTACAGGAGAACCCAGAATGACTAAGAATGGACATGCTGTCTCCAGGGACTCAGGAGAAGGCCCAGCAGCCAGGAGTGGAGGCCAGAGGGAGGAAAGGAGGCAGTCAGATTAGGACTAAGACAGTGGTTTGCCCTCCATGAGCAAGTGGTACCCACCCATCACTGCAATCATGTACTGTATCTTCTCCAAATCTGTTAGGCCAGCTTTCTCTTCCTCCAAATCAGTTATATGTTCCTTTAGCTCTGTGTAGAGGCCAATGAGCTCTCCCATCAGACGAAATGTCTCCACTGCCATGGGGAAGCTGGGAGCCAATTTCTCCAGTGAATCTTGTTGCTCACCGGAATCTTCAACACTCTCAAGTGAGCGTTGGTAAAGAACACTAGGAGAGGCTATCCTCTTGATAAAGGTTGTATCCTGGTCTGGGTGAGTCCCAGGTTGGTATGAGGCACCTGCCATGTTGATCTGGCCATGCCCATCTGCACCCGGGTATCCTGGGCCACGAGAGCCAGGATACATTGGGCCAGGATACGCATGATCACTCTGATCAGGTAAAAACGAATACTGTTGATCTCGCTGTAGTACCAAGTCTGGTGATGCCAAACTCGGATGAGTTAGGAGTGGTGGTACACGGACATACTGATCTGTGCCAGGAGGTACCACACCTTGCTGAGATGTCAAATGTAGAGAATCTCCTTGTAATGGTGAAAAGTCATGAAGCTTCATGCCTGGTGGTAACGAGTCTTGCTGATCAAGTCCATGGGGTACCAAACCATGTTGATCTGCTCCAAGTTGCATCAATCCATGTGGATAGGCACCAGGTTGCACCAGGCCAGGCGGGTAGGCACCAGGTTGCACTGAACCATGTACATATACACCAGGCTGGACCAAGCCACGCTGGTCTGCTCCAGGTTGGACCAAACCACTTTGGTCTGCACCAGGCTGCACCAAACCACGCTGGTCTACATCACGCTGCCCCAAACCATGCTGGTCTGCACCAGGCTGCACTAAGCCACGCTGGTCTGTACCAGGTTGGACCAAACTACTCTGGTCTGCACCAGGCTGCATCAAGCCACGCTGGACTGCATCAGGTTGAACTAAGCCACGTTGATCTGCACCAGGTTGGATCAAGCCATGTTGATCCATGCCAGGCTGGACCAAGCCATACTGGTCTGCACCAGACTGCACCAAACTACGCTGATCCATTCCAGGTTGCACTAAACCAAGCTGGCCTACACCAGGTTGTGCCAAGCCATGCCGGACTGCACCGGGCTGGACCAGACCATGCTGAGCTGTACCAGGTGGCATCACACTAGGGGGATATGCACCAAGTTGTGCAAAACGAGGTGGGTATGCACCAGGTTGCCCCAAAGTAGGTGGATATGCAACAGGTTGCACAAAACCACGCTGATCTGTGCCAGGCTGCACCAGACCACCCTGGTCTGCGCCAGGCTGCACCGAACTAGGTGGATATGCACCAGGTTGTACCAGATCATGCTGGTCTGCACCATGTTGCACCAAGCCACGCTGGTCTGCGACAGGTTGTACCAAAGCATGCTGACCTACACCAGGTGGGACCAGACCAAGTGGATATGTGCCAGGCTGCACTGAACTGGGTGGATACGCACCAGGTTGCATCCAACCATGTGGATATGCATTAGGCTGCACCAAACCATGCTGAATTAAACCAGGCTGAGCCACACCATGCTGGTCTGCACTAGGCTGCACCAAGCCATGCTGGACTGCACCAGGCTGCACAAAACCACGCTGATCTGTGCCAGGCGGCAACAGTTTACGTTGATCTGCACCAGGCTGCACCAAATCACGCTGGTCTGTGCCGGGCTGCACCACACCAGGCTGGACCAAGCCATGCTGGTCTGCACCAGGTGGCTCTACTCTACGTTGATCTGCACCAGGCTGCACCAAATCACGCTGGTCTGTGCCAGGCTGCACCACACCAGGCTGGACCAAGCCACTCTGATCTGCACCAAGCTGCACCAAGCTATACTGGTCTGCCCCAGGCTGGACTAAACCACGCTGGTCTGTGCCAGGCTGGACCAAGCCACGCTGCTCTGCCCCAGGCTGGACCAAGCCATGCTGGTCTGTGCCAGGTGGCACCAATCTACGTTGATCTGCACCAGGTTGAACCAAATCATGCTGGTCTGGTCCAGGCCCCACCAAACCAGGTTGGACTAAGCCACGCTGGTCTGCGCCAGGCTGCACCAAGCCAGGCTGCTCTGTGCCAGGCTGCACTAACCTATACTGGCCTGCCCCAGGCTGGACCAAGCCACGCTGGTCTGTGCCAGGCTGGACCAAGCCACGCTGGTCTGCGCCAGGCTGGATCAAGCTATACTGGCCTGCCCCAGGCTGGACCAAGCCATGCTGGTCTGCACCAGGCTGCACCAAGCCAGGCTGCTCTGCCCCAGGCTGCACTAACCTATACCGGTCTGCACCAGGCTGGACCAAGCCACGCTGGTCTGCGCCAGGCTGGACCAAACCATGCTGGTCCATGCCAGGCTGGACCAAGCCAGGCTGGACCAAGCTATACTGGTCTGCCTCAGGCTGAACAAAGCCAAGCTGGTCTGCACCAGGCTGGACCAAGCCATGCTGGTCCATGCCAGGTGGCAGCAAGCCATGCTGGACCGCGCCAGGCGGCACCAAGCCCCGCTGGACCGCGCCAGGGGGCACCAAGCCCCGCTGGACCGCACCAGGGGGCACCAAGCCCCGCTGGACCGCGCCAGGGGGCACCAAGCCCCGCTGGACCGCGCCAGGCGGCACCAAGCCACGCTGGACCACGCCAGGGGGCACCAAGCTGCGCTGGTCTGGCCCAGGCGGCACCAAGCCCTGCTGGACCGCACCAGGCGGCACCAAGCCACGCTGGACCGTGCCAGGCGGCACCAAGCCACGCTGGACCACGCCAGGGGGCACCAAGCTGCGCTGGTCTGCACCAGGTTGGGCCAAATCAGGCTGCTTTGTGCCTTGTTGTATGAAACCAGGTGCTTCCAAACTGGGCTGTACCAAAGCTCTCTGATCTGTACCAGCTTGCATCAAAGCAGGTGGTACCAAACCACTCTGATCTAAAAAAGGTGGACTCGATCCATACTGATCCATGCCAAACTGTTCCATACCCTGTTGTTCTACGCTAGGAAGCATCATGCCATGCTGGTCTGTTCTAGGCGGTTCCACTCCTTGCTGATCTGTGCCAGGTACCAATGGTGGCACCACACCACGATGACCCATGCCAGGTGGTGCCACACCATGTGCATAAGTGCCAGGTGGTCCTAAGCCATGTTGAGTTTGCCCTGGATAGACTTGATCTGGGCTTAAGTACACCCTGCCTTGCAGATCCGGGTACCCCACACCAAGCTGATCTCTGGGCAAGGCTGGGTCCTGTTGGGCTGGGCCAGGGTGTGCCTCTCGTTCATCCCTTCTTGGGTGTGAAGTACTGTACTGATCGCGACTCCTGAGACGATCTAGCTCTGTTCTGAAGTGGGATGCAGAGGGGTGATGGGGTCTTGGCGTGCCGGCTTCATCACGGGCCCTCGAGTGCTGTTCTCTAGCAGGAAGCCCGACTGCAGAGGGAGCTCTGGAACGATCCCTGCTAGAAACCCTCTCAAAAGGGTATCCTGTGGTACTGGATCCTGATAAGGTCTTAGCTGGGGCAGAACCACCAGTAGAATCGGTGCTCGGATGCTTGGTGTAGACTCCACTTTGACTTGTATCAGCTGATATCAAGGGACCTTGTCCTTTGCGCTTAGGAGATATTGTTGATGTCTCTGAGGTCTGGTTGAAGAGGAAGAAAAAGAGAGAGACATCAAAACAGCAAAGGCCAGAGTCATTGGGAAGGGATGCTGGGGCATCTCACTAGGATGACATGGGGCCCTTGGAAGAGAAAACCTCTGGTCCCCAAAGCAAGCACCTAACAGGACCTTGGCATCCCCGGGGGGTAGGTCTCCACGTGGCTGAGAATCTACACATTTGCAAGTGGCATCCAAACACGTGCACCAGAACACCCTCTCACGAGGTGGTGGGGAAACTGCCACATACAGGGACTGCTGACTCTGAGTCTACACATAAGGAATGTACCTAATTCATGAAGCTGCAGATATAAAGGCGGCCCCATTGCTGATGCTAAAAGTATACACAGGAGGCAAGTAAACCACGTACTAAAAGTGTAAATACACAAGCCCTTAGATCTAGAAATTCCACAGCTATGAATTCTCTCACAGAAAGATCCTGATATATATGTGTGTGTGTGTGTAAGTGGACTCTGCCGTATCATTTACGAGAATAGATTATCAATAACTCATTCTCATCAAGTTGATTCCAACTCACAGTGACCCCATTGGGTTTCCAAGGTGGTAAATCTTCACGGAAGTAGATTGCCGAGTCTTCCTTCCATGGAGCAGTTGGTGGGTTTCAACTGGCAACCTTCTGGTTAGCAGTCAAATGCCTTAGGCACTGTGCCACCAGAGCTCCTTAGATTATTAATAGGGGGCTGACTTGTTTATTCAAGTCCATTACTCATATGTCAGTTTGTGCTACTGTGGTGGCCAGCAACCTGCAATATGCAGGTGACATAAACTCACTTGCTGGAAGTGAAGAGGACTCGAAGCACTTACTGATGAAAATCAGACTATAGTCTTCAGTGTGTGTGGTAGTTAAGTTTGTGTGTCAACTTGGCTGGGCATGGTTGAGTGGCTGGGCAGCTGGATGTAGTATTCCCCATGATGAGACTGATAATCAACTCCATGGTGGAATCTACTGTGAGCAGCTGAATAGCTCTCTTTGGTTATGTGGTCTGTTTCCCGTATATAAGTAGCAGCTTTGGGAATGGTCTCTAACTTACAGCACGCTTGGACCCTGCATGAAGCCATGTCATTATTCAGCAGCCTTCCATGCTCTGCCAACCTTGGGACTTTCAATGGACTTGAGTTAATGGCCTGCCATTTTTACTTATCAATTTTGAGTTTGTCAGCCTCAGCAGCCAGCAGCTGTCTGAGTGAAGAAAAGCCTCTAGCTCCAATGGGCCGGGAGCAGGAGGCAGAGGTGGACCCCAAGGTTGAGGGGCCTTCACCCAGCCCCTAGAGCCTGGCACTTTGAACTTGGACTTAAAGCCTCCAAACTGTAAGAAAATAAACTCCTGTTTGTTAAGGCCATCCCATTTGTGGTATATTCCTGTCAGGGCGGCACTAGGGAACCAGAACAGTATGCATTACACCTCAACATAAAGAAAACAGAAATTCTCACCATTGGACCAACAAACAACCTGGTGATGAATGGATTAATTAACTGTCTAGGACTGCATTTTACTTGGCTCTACAATCAACGCCCATGGAGGTCAAGAAATCAAACGACGAAGTACATTGGCCAAATCCGCAAAAGACCTCTTTAAAATGTGGAAAAGCAAAGATATCGCTTGTGGACTAAGGTGAACCTGAGCCAAGCCCCAGTGTTTTCAATCATATCATATGCACGTGAAAGCTGCACAGTGGATGAGGAAGAACGAAGAATTGATGCCTTTGAATGATTGTGTTGGCAAAGAAGATTGACTGCACTAGGGACTACGAGAAGAATGAACAAATCTGTCTCAGAAGAAGTACAGCCAGAATGCTCCTTAGAAGTGAGATGGCGGGCCTCTGTCTCACGTACCCTGGAGAAGAACATCGTGGCTGGTAGAGGACCAGAGAGAAAGAGGAAGACCCATCAAGAGGGACTGATGCAGGCCTGTGGCGACGGGCTCGAGCATGGCAATGATTGTGAGGATGGCACGGGCTGATGTTTTGTTCTATCTCATGGAGCGTCACGACGATGCTGACCAGACTGGGCAACGCCTAGCAACTAACAATCATAAGGTTCTACTGTGTTTTGGTGAAGGTTTACTCGGCAGTTTCACTTCCCGTTCAACATTTCTGCGTACGTTGTGCAGTGACCTTGGTTACATCCTATTTCCTTTCTGGTTGTTCTGTTTCCATTAATCCAGTTTCCCTACCCCCTCACATTCTCATAGTTGTTTTAAAGTAATTTTTGACCATTTGGTCTCATATAGGTGATTGTTCAAAGAAGCACAGTACTTATAGGTGATACTCATTATTTTTTGAGCCAATTGGTTACGTAGTTACAAGTAACCTCAGGGGTTAGTTTGGGTTCAAGGTTTAAAGAGTATCTCAGGCAGGAGTCTTGGGGAGTACTTAAGTCTCAAATAGTTCAGTAGGTCTGTTTTTTGTTGTTGTTGTTGTTGTTTGTTTTCAGGAATTTTGGGTTCTAGTCTACATTATTCTTCCATTCTGTCAGGGTCCCTCTCTTGTGCCCCGATCAGAACAATCGGTGTTGATAGCTGGGCATCGTCTAATTCTTCTGGTCTCAGGGTAGATGAGGCCATGGTTTGTCTCAACTATTTGTCCTGTGGACTAGTTTCTTCTTTGAGTCTTTGATTTTCCTTCTTTCTCTTTTGTTCCAGACAAGTAGAGACCAATCCTTTTTTTTTTTCTTTTTTTTATTAGGATTTGGGTGAAGATTTACAGAGTAAATTCACTTTTCATACAGCAGTTCACATATACTTTGTCTCATGTCATTGACCAAAATTTA